GGCTCTCTGCCTCCCCAGTTTCTCTCTGTCTCTGGTGCGCAGGGTTTAGATTCGGTGGCGTTATGTAGCTCGCCTCCCCATAGCCAGGCATGGGGCCGGCGGAGGGGGGGGGGGGAAGTCTAAAATCATCCTCTCTCGGCCGGTACGTTGTCGAATCAAATCAGGAGCTCGCCCTGGGCTTGTCCCTTTTTTACAGGTAGCTTGAGAATGGTGGGAACACGCGCACCCCTGTCCTTTTTTTTATTTTGCTAATAAAATGAAATACAACGGATCCAACTCCCAAGGTTTTATGTTGAGAACGAGTAAGCGATTTAAGGAAGGCATCTCTGAATTGCGTTACATTTGCTCTCGTAACACTCTGGCCTCCTTCAGCCGCTCCCGTCCCTTCCCGTCTTCTCTCCAGACAATGTTTCCCTGTCTTTGTGGGTTTGTTTTGGAATGTGCTTCCTATCGTGGGGAGGGGTTTAAAACCAGCGAAGTGGCAGCGGCAGCGGCTGATGCCTTTAGCTGGTGTTTCTTTGTTCAGTGTATCCATGAGATAGTCGCTGTCGCTGGCTCCTCTCCTTTTTGTGTGTTGGTAAACAATGCTGTATCTCCTCCCGTTCCTCCTGTTCCTCCTCCCCCTCCCTCTCCCATCTTCAGGTTGGAGGTGGAAAGGGAATACAGTACATATGCGGTCCTTCCGCCTGCTTTCTGTTTAGCTTAATATGTGGTTGGTGATGAAAGCAACTAAGCGTTTGTTTAACTAATAGTGTATTTGCATAGACCGTTGCTGTCTTATCCAAAGGGTCTGTCAAGGATCCGATTTCCGTGGACGTATTTTGTACCATCTAGACATTTCTAGAAGGAACAGGATAGCTTGGAACCAGGATGGGTGCGCTTGGATAAATGAAACATGGTGGGTTTGCCATCACAAACTGCTCTACTTTTTGGAAAGAGAATTTATATAAAGAGATTTTTTTTAAAAGCCACTTTTTTTCCTTGCTTGAATTATTATTATTATTATTTTTAAAATCTTTAGCTCTCTGTCATGCAGATAAAGAGACCTGCCTCTCCTGTTTTTATTATTCATGCTGCTGGAATCATAACCAGATTCTTAATTATTGTAATTAAATGTGGAACAATAGCCATATTTGTTTGTACCCAGGGTGGAATGAATTTAAAAAATGCCTTTTGAAAAAAAAAAATTGGGAGGTGGCCTGCTGCAATATGGTTATTTTGTAATTTTTAGAAATGTATTTTAAAAGAGGAGAGAGAAAGGAAAACAAACATGACATGTGAATTGGGAAACTCCTCCCAGAAGGGACAATCAGAGGTTTACTTCTGCTATTACAAATGTTCTTGGCTGTCTTTTTTTAAAATGTAGCGTTTGGTCCTTTGTTTTGTTACTGTGCACATCTCATCACTGATTAGAAATCTTAGGCTGAAATATATAGTCAAAGGGCTACTGATGAGAAATCGTAGCTCTTTTGTGCTTCCTCGAATCCTGGGGTGGGGGGGGAGATGTTTTTACCTCCGTGACTAGGCTATTTCAAAACAGCTTGACCTCCCTTATGTGTGGATGATTTCTAGTAATATTTCTAATTAACAGCAATGAAACAAAAACAGACGGCCACTTTTTTTTATTTTTTATTTTTTTGGGGGGGAGGGGAAGTGTTTGTTGATGAAAACATGTTCATTTTTAGTGTTCTGTTTGCAAATCATCCTGCAGTCCAAATGTTCTGAAATTAGAAACTGGGTTTTAGGCCAGCCAGAACTCTTGAAAGACAATAGGAATGGCATGAGAAGGACTTTGGTTACAAAAGCATGACTTGATGAAGAGTTTCAGAACTTATGCTTCATACTTAAATGCACACGTTATATTGGTGAACACTTCGCTAAACAGCAGCGAATTGAATCCCAAACAGTTACCTCCGCCTCTTTCTACAGCCCTGCGTTTATCCTCTTGTGGTTGAGAAAAGGAACGAGACCAGCTTCATTAGCTTGCTAATTAAGCACAATGAAGTGCTGTGCCAAGGTTAATGTTGCCGGTCTTTAAAAACACAAAACTCTTGAACCAATGTCCAGGATCCTATTAACAAAAATCTATTGTTAGATATAGATTACGCCACTCTAAATATCAGGACTTTTCACTGGCCCCAGTCCTTATGTTTATGCACACATAACATTAACGTGCCAATCCGACACATAAAAAAGTTAAGAATCCCCACTGAATATGAAGGGATTAAACTCCATGATTGTGATAATAATTTAAATTTAAAACCTATCCAATACTTGATCTTCAGGATATTTAAGAAGCTGTTTTGATGGATACTGGCTGTTTTTTAGAAGAATGCAAGAATTCACCAGGAGGAGGTGTGCTAATGGGTATTAAGTGGGGTACCTAGATAAACTTCCCACTTGCAGTCGCAGTATACCTTAGACTTACTAAATGC